CGAATTCAGTTTCAGGCGATTTGTTGATTATAATTGCACAGATAATAGTCGCAATTCAGATGGTAGTTGAACAGCAAATTATCACTGAATACAATGTGCCGCCTTTACTTGTCGTTGGTTGCGAAGGTACTTCCCGTTTTTTGTCCATTTTTGTGAAAAGATTTATTATAAAGGGATGGGGAGGCGGTCTGGGTTGTGAATCTCTCGATTCGAAACCCCTTCTCTTCCCTCTCCTCTTTCATCTTTTTATGCGTTCTTTGCAGCTATGCAATGCAAAAGCGCATATTGTCGAGGGGTTGTCTGTGCGTGTATGTGTGTGTCTCTGTGTGCGTCTCTAACGAGTTTTCATCTCGAGATCCGGCTGAAAATTTGGTGACTTAATCTACACATACGTGCGGGCTCGTATCCTCAAAGTGGACGCTCAGGTCCGCGTGGTTCTCACGTAGGGGCACGTGAAAATTTTTTTGGCGGGAAAGCATTTTCGGAAACGGCCCATGCCAGGAGGCTGAAAGTTCACAGGATTGTTCCTTGGCCGCATCTGATCCAAAGATTTCAAATTTAGCCTTCATGCACCCTCAGGACTCACGTACGCATACGTCAAAGTTTAAACTGGCACCATGCCAACTCTAAATTTGAGGTGATCAATAAACTGCTGAGGGCTGCAATTTTGCAGCGCTACTTAATGCCCACTGCTGTGTCCTAGAAAGTAAATTACTTGTCAGCCCTTCTGCATCTCACGTACGAGCACGTGTACACATGTGAAATTTGACGTAACTTTGCAACCAGAGCAGCTTAAGTACTGAAACTTCTTGAGCACTATCTAGGGCCGTCTTTAAGTAACCCCAAGCGAAGAAAACACCCACTTTGCCACTCACGTACAAACGCGTGGAATTTGGCGCAACTCTGCAACCGATGCATCCAGAGCGCTGAATTTTTTGGGCATGGATTGGAAGTCATTGTAATAATTTCTAACAGTCATGGTGGCCAGTCACAATTCTTTTAACTAGAAGCATCTGTCGGGAAGAGCGCGCCACTGGTTTTTTCTTCAGCGACTGTTTTTTATCGTTGTTGCCATGCTTCGCGTTTTTCGTTCTTTAGTCGTTGGTCAGACTGACAGTCTTTTCTCGCCCTGTTTAACTGCTTTCCAATATGCTTACTATAATATATGCTCAAACGCACTCAAATACTAGATTCGACGGGGTTTTTATCAAAAACAACAAAGAAAATAACCAGACTTCGCAAGGCAGCTTCGTACAATTGTTGACATTTTAACGGCAACCCATTTAGTGGAAATTGCAAAAACACAAAATTGT